CTTCATCACGTGCTCCCTCATTCGCAGCCGCTCCTCCTCCATCTCTCTCATGTCATCCTCCTCGTTCTTTGGGTCGTAAACTTTTTCCAACTGCAAAGAGAGAAGCATGAAGCATTGCAAGACGTTGGGGACAATCCCATGCCCAGAGGACCTTGGGGCTTGATGCCACTATTGAAAGCTTTGTCCCCATGAGCTGCTGGAAGTTGTAGTTTTGTCCTGCAGTGCCACTGAACCACAGGACCTCTTAGGGTGCATGAGGCTAAAATATGTCCAGCCCAAACCAGAAAGCTTCCAGTAACTCACCTCCTTGGTAAAGAGAGCTTCCAGTTCTTGCTCATCTAGCACACCATCGCTGTTGATGTCTGGGATGTAAGACAAGAGGGAAAAGCTGGTGAAGGAACTGTGAGTGGGTGTGAGGTCTCTTATCAGAGAGCAAGCAAAACGGTGGCCGTGACCAGCAGGCTTCAGTACATTGCTATAAGAATCCTGACTGGGTGTGATAGCACACGGCTTTAATCTCCACATTCCTGAAGTAGAGACAAATCACTTGAGTTTGAGGCCAGCCTGGTTTACAGAGTTCCAGGACAACTAGGGCTACACAGAGAAACCCTGTCTCAAAAACAAAAACAAAAAAAATTTTGTAGCAAACAGGGGCCTAAGAATGGAGTCCCGGGGCTCTGTGACCTCTGCCTCTATGAGAACCAGGCCCATGCCAACTCCAGTGGCCAGGGAGGTCCCCGCATCACGGGCTATCGTCCTTGCTTGTCAGCTTGCTCCTCAAGGTGATGCCTGACTCAGACCCACTTCTGTCTGCTACACATTTCCTGCCATTCACAAGGCTCCTGGGATTGGTCCTCGCCTGACTGTCCAGAAGTCCAGACAGATTCTGTTTATCCTAACCTTCACTACAGGGCCAGCAGGGCCTCCCAGTCACCACCTATGCTCAAACCCTTCCCTGTGTGCAGTGTGTGACAGCCCCGGAAGCCTATGAAGCCCAATCTCTCTCTCTCTCTCTGTGTGTGTGTGTGTGTGAGAGAGAGAGAGAGAGAGAGAGAGAGAGAGAGAGAGAGAGTTTCACTCACCTAGAAAACTCTTCCCCATGTGGCAGAAAGAAGATAGCTATCATTTTGGAATTCCTTACTTTTGTTCTGGCAACAGCACTGAAGATGGAACCTAGGGCTTTGTGCAGGCAAGCCAAGCACTCTGCTACATACACAGCTGTCACTATCCTTCATCCTCACTTTTCACATGTCCACATGTCCTCTCTGGAACTGTCTTCTAACTGGACAGCCACTGGTCATGTGTCTAAAGCCTCAATGACACCCAGTCCCTTGCACAGATAGCCTTTACTCAGGGACCTAGAGCCAGTATCACAGACGTAAGCACAATGGCAGACACTGACATGGAATCCATGGGTTGAGAGGAGGGTGAACTAGGAGCTGCCTGGTGGGTACAGAGGTCTGGTTTATAGCCCTGGCTGTCCTGGAACTCTGTAGATCAGGCTGGCCTTGAACTCAGAGATCCGCCTGCCTGTACCTCCTGGGTGTTGGGATTAAAGGCCTGCACAGCTACTGCTGGACTTTTTTTTTTTTTTTTTTTTTAAAAAAAAAAAAGATTAGGTCTCATGTTGCTCAGATTGATCCCTAACATGACACCTGGGTGAGGGTGACCATGAACTCCTGAGCCTCCTCAGGTCTGCTCATGTGCTAGGTGTGCTTCACTGTGCTTGGTTCAAAGTTCCAGCTTTGCAAGATTAAAAGGTATCTAGGAATTATTTGCACAGCAGAATACTGCACCCAGTGCTTGCCCTGCAATATGAGGTTCCATTTCTGGCAACAAATCAAGCGAAATCCACCACTGGCTACAAAAATTCATACTCACTGTGGGCACCTGAGCCTTGGACGTGTCCCAGCTCTCTGGCTCAGTCCTGCTCTTGGCCCAGCGTACCATTGTCTTCCTTGATAAATTTCTTCATAAATTAAAAAAAAATTCAATTGTGTGCATGTGTATGCATGTGAGTGTACGGGTGCGCTCAGGGCTGGGGCGTCGGACTCCTGGGGGCTGGTGTGTGGTGCTTATGTGCCACTGGGTGTGGATGCACAGCTATGAGGGCAAAAACCCCCTCATGTCTGACCTCATTTTCAGAGAGCACATCTCATCAGCCTGGAACTGCAAGTCAGGCAGGCTAGCTGGCCTATGAGCTTAGAAGGCCCTGCCTACCTCTGCCTTCTACTTCACCATAACTGAGCTATAGGTAGACACTATCTCACATGACCTGTGGGTTCTGGGGATCTGAACTCAGTTTCTTATACGTTTAAGGCAAGTGATTTACCAACTGAACTATTTCCCCATTCTCTAAATTAAAAAAAAAATTATACACTGGGTATAGTGGTGCACCCCTTTAATCCCAGTACTTGGAAGGCAGGCAGACCCTATCTCCAAAGGGGGGAAAAAAAAAGTCAGGGTCTGGCTGTCCTAAAAGTCTCTCTGTAGACCAAGCTGGGCTTGAACTCATAGAATTCTGCCTGTCTCTACTTCTCAAGTGCTGGGATTAAAAGCACATATCACCAGCCAGCAGGACCCTGTCTTAAGAAAAAAACCCACATTTTTAAAAATTCTGTACATGTGTGTGCTTGAGTGAGGGCGCACCAGTGACACAGCTCAAGCATGGGGGTCAGAGGTCAACATGTGGGAGCTGGTTCTTTCCTCCCATCATATATGTTCTACAAATCAAACTCAGGCTGCCAGCCTTATGCAGGGCTCTTGGGAGACCCAGACTTCTGAGTTACTGTGGCAAACCTAAAAACTTCAATTCCCAACAGTCTTGTGGCAGTTTTAAAAAACAAGAACAACTTAATGTGTACAGTGTTTTGCCAGCATGTGTGCATGTGTAACCATGTATATGCATAGTGTCCTCAGAGGCCAAGATTGGCTCTGGATCCCCTGGAACAGTTATTAGAGAGAGCTGTGAACGTCACATGAGTGCTAGCAGCCTCTGGAAGAGCAGCCAGTGCTCTTAACTGCTGAGCCATCCTTCCAGACCCTCTACCTCCCAATAAGCACTTTTGTCTCTGTGACTCTTGGGAATTGTAGTTCTTTTTTTTTTTTTTTAAAGATTTATTTATTTATTATGTATACAGTGTTCTGCCTGGATGTATGTCTACATGCCAGAAGAAGGCACCAGATCTCATTATGGATGGTTGTGAGCCACCACATGGTTGCTGGGAATTGAACTCAGGACCTCTGGAGGAGCAGCTAATCTCTCCAGCCCCGAGTTGTAGTTCTTTATGTACTCCTCAAGCCTGGTCTGTTCAGTTAGAGAACATGGCCATTCCTTAGAATACAGAGGAAAATAATATTGAAGAAAAAGACTTGGTCCTTCCCTGGAAGATCCCAGACTTAACAACAAGGAGGGGGAGGGCCCTTGGCCAGTCAGCATAAGAAGAAGGGCTTACAAAGTTCCACTGGAAAGGGTGCTGAAAGACCATCAGGACCTCTCATGTCAGCCTGGTTCTGGAACACCCTCCCCACCTTACCATGCAGTATGAAGAAGGTCTTGGGGTTGAACCTGTTGGGGTCCAATCCATCCAGCTCCTCCCATACCTCCTTCAACTGGGCTTGGCTGCCCTGTGGAGAATAGCGGGAGCTTGTGAACAATGAATCTGTATCGGGTCAGACAGCCCTATGTGCTCATCCAATAAATTTTAGTCTCCTCAAGGCAGAACTACATAACCCAACAACCTTTGGAGTATTTTCATATAGGAAGACAGATGGATTTTTTGCTTCAAGGCCTCTTGGGAGTTGTACTTTTGTACCTTCATTCATTTCTTTTTTTTTTTTTTTTTCTGCTTAGGACTGGACATAGTAAAGCATATGTTGGGTCCTTACAGGGACATTGACTTTGGGGTGTTCCCGGTGTCTGCGCTGTTGCTCTTGTAGCTTCCTCTCGGCCTCCTTCCGCTGCTCCTCTCCCAGAGACTCCAGGTAGCGTCTTCTCTCATGTTCCTTAAGCATCTCATAGCGTTTGAACTCTTGATGATGTGCGGCATCATACTGGGCGAGGTCTCGGGTGGCCTGTGGAGAGGTGAGAGGGTCGCGCTCCTCCTGTCTTTCAGACACCTGGCACAATCCACAGCAAACCCTAGGCTGCTTTCCCAAAGTGGTGATGTTTACACAGTAGCAACACCAGTTCAGCATTTCATAGTGAGCAGAGGACGGTGTGTGAGGTGGAGCAATAAGGAAAGCAGCATAGCTTGGG